AACTGTAGTTTGGTGCTCGACGGATCTCACAATCGAGCGGCTGTAGATTACCGCTTTGCTGAGGTTAGACCTGTAAAGAAAAGAAAACGACAAAACAAAACAAAACAAAGCACAAGAGACTCATAATTGGATTCACTGTAAGGATACTGGGTGAACGTCGGAACGGCGAGTCATCCAGTTGTGATGAACTATAATAGGAGGACGATCGGGCCTTTCTTCTAATTGGACAGAATAGGTATTAAGATATTGTCCTGACCGTTGAACCTGTTCCTTTGTGAACTTGTGGATGAGACTGATGGGGGTGCGGTATTGAGATCCACACTAACTCATCTGGCTGGAACTTGGGTTCCCACGGTGGGGGTTTCTGGACATTAGCTTCATCCCATAACGGTTTAGCGGTGTTCAATGAGATGAGAACATCATGATTGAATTTAGTCCAGTTTTTAAATGTCCCTCCTCCTCTGAGACAAAGTTGTTCTTTGTACAGGCCTATATGTCTTTCTACAACGCTGTTGGACTGCAGGTGGTACGGCAAATGGAAATGCCATGCTATGTTGTGAAGATGAGCAAATTTGTCTAGGGCGTTAGAGTTAAATGGGGGTCCCCCATCAGACTGAATCTCATGAGGAGGTTGCCAGGTGGCAAATACAGCAGTTAAGGCGGAAATAACAGCAGTGGCATTGCTTTTTCATAAGGGAATAACTTGTAACTGTCTTGTTCCCAAGTCGACAATAACTAATCCTTTATTTGGCGGCTTAGACCCTGGGAGGGGTCCTAGCAGATCTACCTGCCAAACTTTTCCTGCCTGAAACTGTGAAGAATCGAAAGCTCCGAGCTGATGTTTGGTTCTATGGCACTTCTCTTTGGCACATATCTCATAGGCCTGAGCTACCTTTTCCCAATCACGCCGAGCTCTGTATGAGGCCAGCTCCATAATGGTTCGGCACCAACGTTGATGGCAAACTCGTGGTCCTGGGTGACCCCAATTTTCGTGAAGCCACGCAAGGAATGGATTTACTTCAGGACCGGAGGTAGATGTGATAGGCAAGACTGTGTCGGTCCGGAGTGGGTCTTCTAAGACCTTATTAATGACCTCATGTACTGGATCAGTAACCGGACGGTGGGACTTAGTGCGCCTAACTAACGGGAGTCATTCAAGTTTAGTTAACGTCTTCCAGATGTCTTGCCAATCATTCAAATTTTCGGTGGGAAAGGCTGTACCAGTAAGAATTTTATAAATGTATTGCGAATCAATTGCGATGATTGGAACAGGGAACGAGTCGTTATGATGTGTCAGACAATGTTCCAGTACCTTGAGGAATCCTAATAATTCACATTTTTGGGCCGAATTATCATCTGGGTCGGCTTGGAATATTTTCTTGTCATGACAAGCCTTACAGTAGTACCCATAGCCTCCGCCATGTCGGGAGGTTCCATCTGAGGCTGTCCACGCCGGGGCAGAAGTTCCATGCAGTGTAGGGACCTTCTCCTCATCTTCTGGGCTTGGATTAGGTGCCGTGTCTTCCAACCTCCAGCAATGCCAGTTGTAATGGTGGGTAAGCACTAGTGTATTCCAGGTCTTAGACTCCCCCTGAAAATGTGGGTCGACTTTTTCTGCATCCAACAAGAGTAACAATGTGGTACCGGGAGTGCGTAACGTCCCATGCCCCCTTGCTAATGGCTCCACCAGTTGTTCAGCTAGGAGGATTTTTCCTACAGCTCCAAATCGATGTTGTGCCGCTTGAAGCGTCTTATGGGCCGTGTATACTAGCTCATTGCGAGGGTTATGCATGATAGCCCACACATGGTTCGTAGTGAACCCAAGGGTTACGGTTAGTGACTCACCCAGATCGATGGCATGGAGCTGTGTTT